TGCATATGTAGTAGAAATACCATCGAATGACCTGTCCCATTCCGTGTATATGTCTCCCTGTTGAGATAATGCAAGTTGGAGCTCATCAGAGCCAGAGCTCTGGCACGAAGCATCTTCGACAAATGTGGCTGTGATGAACAGCGTGCAAATTTAAAAAATGCATATAGCTGACTCCAGGTTTGCAGAGTGTTAATGTAGTGACTAACTGGCAGTTGCAACAGACTTGATATGGAGATATTTGAGGGAGGAGAGAAGGAATTTAGCTGGACTCAAAGCTAATGGGGGAATATTCTTCCAGCTTGGATACCTCACCAAAATGTAGGCAGGAACTTCAGTTTTAGAAAGTCATTGCGCTTCAGAATTGTTCAATTCTAAGCTCTGTATGAGCGTGATAGTGTTTAATGCTGTATTCTTGGGTAGGAATATGAGTGATCTGCAGATGTAACCCTTGAATGTTTTGGCTGCATTCTCAAGAGTCGTAATATGCTCTCAAACTGAACATTTGGGTGAAAGATGAGACCTGTTAGTGAAAGAGGGTCCCACAGACTGCTCCACTCAGCCTGATTTCTGAAATGTGCAACACTTAAATCACAGCAGATTGATTCCCTTTAGTGACCTGGAGAGGGTGAGCTCCCATAGATTGCACAGAGGGCTGGCAGTGCGATGCCTCGTGTGCTTCCTTCCTTTGGAATATGTCTCTGGATTGAATCAAAAATGATGAACTTTTGTAGGTTCTCTTCTCTCTGGAAGTAAGCGCATCTATTGATCTCATTCAGTCAGGAAACTGTTAAAACAGTCAGGCGGTGGCTCCTAGGAGCTTTAAACAAAAAATCCGGAATACCACCTCTCTAAAAACAATTCAAACATGCTCAACCTTGTGGCTGCAACAGAAGCAGCAATGCGTATGGGTTCCCATGAACCCTGTCTAACCTCTGAGATTTATTGATGAATGAAAAAATAAGGGGCCAGGCCCTGAAACCCTTCCTTACTTAGGCACTGGTCTCTATGTGGTAACAAGAACTCCAGCGATGGGCTGAAGATGTTTACTACTTTTAAAGATTACCAAGGAAAGCAAACTTGAAACAGTTTGAAAAGCCAGTATAAATGAGAGAAACGTGATTTTTTAATTCTGACTGCCAGAATAGTCATAGTCTGTGTATTAAAGCAACTGTAACATGCAATTTATTAAGCTGCACAGGCGTCAGTGGGTCTTCCTCATGTGAACACGTCTCCCTGAGTAGACTTGAACCCTCGTAACACACAGTCTTGCAAAAGCACACTCACCTTTTCATGCACAGCCACTGTTTATGGGGAAAATACGGTGTGGGAACTGTTGTTGTTTGGTGAGACATTAGACGTTGCTTCTGCTCCTTTTTCGTAACCAATGAACTAGACACTCGGTGTCTGGGGAGGAGAAGGCTCTCTAAAATAAAATATAGGAGGTCTCCTGGGTGATTTGATTATTTTGCCTCCAGTGGCTGAGCCTATTACCATGTTTCTTGCTACATTTTGCTTTGGCATTATTTAAAGGAAAAGGGATTTTTTGGTGTATATTGGGATGATCTCAGAGAGAAGTGGAAATGCTGGTACGTGCTGTGTAATTCTGCCACGTTGTGTTTGTTGCCTACCTTAGCAGGTGCAGAGCCTTTGGAGGAGTTCCATCTCTCGGTCTAAGATAAGAACTTTGCAATTGGAACTATGAACCCTTTATTTTAGGAAAATGTGCAGGTATAATTGAAATCAGTAAACCACATTTTGCCAAAGTGGTGTTAAAATTAGTATCCAATGATTAAAATGCTATAGATATGTATATTTGGCTACGCTTTCCAAGGTATTCTATTTTTTCCTTTTCTTTCTTTTTTCTGGTCTCAGAATCCACTCCTTTAAGATGAACGTTGAAAGTGAGAGGCAAATGTATCTATATGTTAATCTTTTCATGAAGTTATCTTGCTGCCCTCTGCAGCAGACTTCTGCAGACAGACTTCTGGGGGGCTGGGGGGGGGAATAGAAGGGAGGTTCTGAAACTTGACGCAGCCAAGAGATGTGGAAAGCCCTTTTTGCAAAGCTGTGATAATAGTTGTTGAAAGTAAGTTGTGGCGATTTGAAAATCAGAGCGAACCAACAGGAATCAGTTTTTACTGCTCCTTTACTCTGTGCTCGTCTCCTTTCCCCCTCTTGAGAGGGGTTTGGAGTCTCATGTGCGTTGGGCCTCTCTCTGTTTTGCTACAGGATAAAGGGGTATAAAAGAGAGCGTAAGGGTGAGAAGTGCGTATAGTTAATGTAATTTACCTCCATGTAAAGGCAGCTTTACCCAGTCAGAGAGCGTTTACTGAAGGTGAGCCTACGTGGAAGGATGACTGGATATGGGCCAATGTGTTTCCCTGAGGCTAGTAATAACTTTTCTTCATGTGTGGAAAAGCTGGCGCTGAGACAAGGACGGGGAATGATCCTGCCCTCTCTGCTCAGACCGAGCTCGTCTCGGCTTGCAGCCAGCCCCCTTGTGCACATGGGAGCTTTTAGAAATGCAGGAGCAGGAGGGAATTGTGCAGCTCTGTCAGTGGGAGCACATATAGTGTGCCAAGGTGAGGCATGACCCACACAACAAAAGGATGTGCTGATTTCTTTCTCATGAATGCTAATTTTCCAAACCATTTTTTCAGGGTTTAGCATTTCTCATTTATAATGGTAAAAATAAGTGAGACCAGCAGGTTTGCATACGGTGAATGATTGCAGCTCCAAAGTGAAACGTCTGCTCTGCAGAAGAGTTGACCAGGTCTCATGTTTTGAAATCAAAATAGAATGTCAAGCCTTTCCCCCTGCTGTATTCTGCTGAATCTCCAATATCCTGTGCAATGCTAGGCCACTATTGATTTTTTTATTTTATTTTATTTTAGTGAAGAGAAACATATCTCCTTGCTTTATTGCAATTAGAAAGTCAGTGTTGATTCTTGATGTTATTCTTGGCAGAACATACAGCTAACCCAAGCGAGGCTTGTCAGCTAGCTGGGTTGGTTGCCTGCTGTGTGTAGTGGCCAAAGCTGTGGTATTATCAGCATATTTAATTCCCTGGCAAACTTTGGAGTTAAATCAGGGCACTGGTATGTCTAGCAGTACTGTGTTTTGTGGAAGGCGCCCTCTTGCAATAGTGCCAAGCCATTCAATGCCTGGAAACATTTGCAAACAATGGCCTCTGACGAAGGCGCAGCGGCCGAGCGGAGGAAGCTCGCTAACCGGGCTTGACGTGAGCTGCGATGGATGCTGACCAAGCGCAGGCATCTGTCGGGGCTAGCTCTCATCACCGTGCGATCTGCAGCCAGGCACGCTGTGGTGTGTGTCATGGCTCGGGGAGGGTGTGTCTCGTGTCTCTTCCTCTTGAGGTCTGCAATACTATATAAATCCTATCATTCTAGTTGATGAGAAAGAGCTTTGCAATCCCAGGAGTGCTTCCACAGAAAGAGGACACTTATAAATATACGAAAACTCAGCAGGATTTAGTTTTCTGTAAAAGTAAACATGACTGTGACATATTGCCTGAGAACAAGGAATCATTTTTCTTTGATGCAAAATTGCTTAGTCCTACAAATAACGCTTGTATGCAGTTTTGAACAGATAGGACCTGCGTTTTAAAATGACATCAACCCAGCTTTTAATTTTGCAGGTGTAAATTGCACCTGCAAATCATTTTTGTCTGTGAACTGTAGCATTTCCTATTTACTTTCCTGATTTTTCTGTGGCTTACTTAACTGATGCCAGTTAGTTATTTTGATGTACAGCTTTTCAGGCAGTTATTTCAGGAATAAAATTGCAGTGTCAAAGCTTCCAACCCATTCTGCACGTTAGGCTCATAAGGGAGTGATGGAGGGGAGGAGTTAAGATGTGTAGGCAATCTACTGTTCACACAAATCTCTCCATACCATCCTCCACTATGAGATTAGTGTTGGTTACTATGACAGGACGCTTGTACTTTGCATCTGTTGAGCAGCTTGATCTAACCAGACTGAGCAACTGTGCAATTTACAGCAAGATTTCTGGTTGTATCTCATTTTCTAATTTACATCCTTATGAACCACGTTTGGTCAGTCTCAATATCGTGTTTGCTCATTCAATGTCTTTATTCCTTGTTTCCTCCCTTTTGCTGACTTTATGTTCAAAAACTAGCCACTTATTAAGCAACAGATAACTGGTAATTTTAGAGCAGACAGTGATCACGGAATATAGGCATTTCATGAGTGAAGGGCAGCTATGCATGTAGGCATACACACAATCAAAACCCTGAGTTCCTCCCCACCATCCTAGGGGACTGCATTTCAAGTACAAAGCCTCTGCATGCTTTTCGGGCGGTAGCTGAGCCATAGTTAACTCAGCTGCAATGAGGGTTTTAAAAACTAAGCATTTCACACTAGGAGGCCTTGAAAAAAAATTATGTTTGGCTTTAATTTCTTGCTGGTCATATAGAAGTTGCCAGACTGAAGTCCTGAAGCCCAAAGCTTTCTCGTCACCCTGAGGCGGGCCCGAGCGCGGTGAGTAGGGTGGTGGGGACAGCGCCAGCTGCAGGACGCGTTGCTTCCCCAGCACGTTGCAGTGGTGGATCGCAGGACAAGGAGGTCATTCTGGCTTGGTCCTCCTGGGCTTGTGCTGAGACGTCCCAGAAGAGGAGGTTTGTGGGCTGGCAGCACCTGTTGAATGGGAGTTGGATGGAGACCCGTAAACTCGATCCACATTGTGCTCTGAAAACAGCGGTCTTCCGGCGTTTCTGCTTTGTTTGTGCTAAAAGGGAAATTCAGCCCTGGAAAGGCAACTCACTGAACCGCAGAACATGGTGAGGCCACGGGCCTCATTACGCATTAGCAACCTTCACCTTAGTAATTTTGTATCACACCATGGTTACTGGTATGTCATTGAAAGCAAGTACCCAAATCTAGCTTTGAAATGTACAATATGCTACTATTTATCACAGTGTACGTACTTATTTTACCTACAGTATGCTGTTGTTTTAACAGGGTCGCCATGTTAAGACTGGGCAGCTAGCAGCAATCAAAGTGATGAATGTTACTGAGGTAAGTACAAAACAAACCGAAAAAGCTGGAGTCAAGGTGAGATAGATCATGAGACTGCGAATTATGAAAGATGATCTAGTGGTATAAACTGTGGTTGCTGAGAGCTGGTTCTTGAGTTTTAAAGTCTCGAGAGGTGTTAATACAAACCGATTCTTTGTTTTCAGTCATAACTGACCGAAGGTGGCAAAGCAGTCAGGGAGGGGAATGCACTTCTGTAAATCCTGCTGGTCTGTGATAATGAAGAGGAGAACTCTCTTCCTGCGTAGTTCTGCTTGATTATCTGTTTCCAGAGATAGCAAGTGAAAGGTTTCCTGCAGCTCTGTGCTGCCCCTGCTGTGTGTCATCACGTCCTCTCCCCTGGCGCGCCAGCCATTCCTCAGTGCCATTACCCTGACAGCTAGCAAGAAGGAACATGTTAGAAATGCAAATGTAGCGCTTTTTTATTGTTGTTTGACGGATGAGAGAAGGAGACGCTCTAATTGGCGCTGTCCCCGCTCACATTTGTAAAGTGGTGTCAGTGTTAGCAACTTTTTTGACATCGTGTTCTAAGTATTGATTTTTGTTGCTCCTGCGCAACCAGCAGCGAAGCGGCTTGCCTCCGTCAGACGACATTAGCCTGAGCTCCAGCGAGGTTGGGGAGGCTCCCGACTTCCTTTTCTTGAGTTTGTTGAACACTTGCAGTGCGGCAGGGTGCACCTACTCTCACTTGAGACCCAGTCCCCACTCTGCACTTCTGGCAGCATAGAGGTGCACTGGGCATGAGTGTAAAACTCCAAGATAAAGTTAGAGTCTGCTTGGGATATTGTGGAAGGACCATAGCCTCAAATAAGGAGCAGGTGCCCTGGGCCAAGCCTGGGGTCTGCCGGGGTACATCTGTGGGGATATTTTGGGCAAGCACAAGCTGGGTCTGCCTGCGTTTTCATGTGTCCTTTGATTGTCTCAGAAGACAGGGAAACAAGTTAGTGTCTGCTTGGGCCTTACCACGTGGACCAGGTCCGGGTCAACTTTCTGCATTGGCGGTATGGGAAGGCAGCCCTGAAGGGTCGGTGGTCTGAATCGCACCTCGTTCTTCTGAACTGAGGTGCTACTGGGGGGGTTTCACAAAGCACCTCCTGAGGGGTGGTTTAGATGTGGCTGCTGCCTTTGTGAGATGGGCATGTGTAGTCAAGTCGCCTCAGGCTTGCTCTATGCAGAGGAAGGTGAGTTTGTGTGTTTGTTTTTTAATGACTATTACATTAGATTAATGGGGTTTTGCTCTTAGTTCTATAGGTCCATATCTCATGAAGCGCTTTGGTTCGCAGAAATGGCAATCACCAAACACAAGGTTGATGTTTTTGAGGGGAGGGAGAGGGGGTAGGCGTTGCAGACAGATTCCTGAGATCAGGGCACCTCCATGTCCTGACAAAGGAGTCGAAAGGGTAGATCCTGTCAGGGACTCCAGACTGATCCAGATTGCTTCCGTGCCTTGCTGGGTCAGTCAGTAGTGTTTGAGGGTTGGCCAAAGATGTCGCTTAGGGGTTATAGTGTTAACGCGAGTGACAGTCCCTTCCTTGATGAAACAATTGAAGCAAAAACTGCAGGAAGGGAACCTTGGAAAGATTTCCTTCCCTTTGCTATGCATGACAGCCTACTTTGCATGTAAGCAACGAGATGCAGTGCCCAGCAATGCTTGCTTGGAAACAAAATTTAAATTGAAGATAATCTAGTGGTCCAGATTCAGGAATTCACATTGACAGATCTGCATGGTTTGAGAAACAAAAAGCAGCTGTAAGCTCACTTAGTGAACTGGTTAGGCTTGATTTGCTGCTTCTTTCCAGGCTAGAGAGGCAACATGATACTGGGGAATCTGTCCCATTGCTTGAGGGATGGAGCAGCAATGATAACAGATCTTGCTGTTTTCATGTTGAGTCACTCGATGCGAAAGGAGTTGTGACAGTTGAAGAGTTCGACAGTAAGCATGTTGGTGCAGCCACCTGGAGGGGTTTTCCCTGGTGCTCTCCCCCCACCAAGCCCTGAACAAGTCCAGTTCAGTTGGTGCTGAGCGTTTCTGCTTTCTGGCCTTGGTGCCGGGTGAGTGCCGAGATTGCTGCTGCTACTTCCACTTTTGCAATGCCGGGTTGGCTGTGTTCCCGCTGTCAGGGCTTAGGCCTGGGAGACCTGGATCCAGTCCTCTGCACAGATTTCCTCCAGGCCTTGGCGGTGCCTCTGCAAGAGGCCACAGAACTCGTGCGGGGTGGTGAAGCGGGTGCCGGC